CCTAATGAGAGGACTGAAATCCACGCACAGTGGTGAGAGCAGTGGTGAGGAGAGGGTAGAGACAGAAAAGAAGTGGCTCCAGACCCAAAGGGCACAGAGAGGTCAGATGGGGAGGAAGGGCGCAGGAGATAGGAGGAGCCTGCGGAGGCTGGAGCCCCAGGGAACTGGAAAAGCAGGGCTGTGACTCTGGATCGAGGGCTTGGAAGGGTATTTTGCAGGCAGAATAGAGCACACTTTGCTCACCTGCTGCATTCGAGGCCTTTCCTCAGAAACCTCGAAAAAAGGATTTGAGTTGAAAGAGCTTCCTTCACTTACAGTAGCCTCTTAGTAGTTACTGAGTGACTGGCTGGCTAACTCACTGAATGATCAAATGAATTAATGAATGAGGCATTATGTTTAAGAAACTGTGAATTTCCGGGGCACCTGGGTGGCTCAGTCGGTTAAGCCGCTACCTTCGGCTCAGGTCATGGTCCCAGGGTCCTGGGATCGAGCCCCACATCGGGCTCCCTGCTCGGCGGGGAGCCTGCTTCTCCCTCTGCCTCTGCCTGCCTCTCTGCCTACTTGTTCTCTCTCTCTCTCTGTCAAATAAATAAATAAAATCTTTAAAAAAAGAAAGAAAGAAAGAAAGAAACTGAATTTCCTTCCAGACTTCTATCTAGGCATATGTACGCAAGTCTTCCATAGTCAGCATCATCTGTGTATAGATCTTTAACACAAGCAAATCTTCATTAACTCTTCCTTCTAAACATAACCTTTAATGATTACGAAGCACGTCCTCCTAAGGGCTATTCTACACTTTTTTTAAAAAGATTTTATTTGTTTATTAGAGAGAGAGAGCACAAGCAGGGAAAGTGGCAGGCAGAGGGAGAGGGAGAAGCAGGCTCCCCGCTGAGCAGGGAGCCCAATGCCGGACTCCATCCCAGGACCACGGGATCATGACCTGAGCCGAAGGCAGACGCTCAACCGACTGAGCCACCCAGGTGTCCCCAGGGCTATTCGACATTCTACTGAACTATTCCTTTGTTGTGTCCAGGTTTTCATAATCATAAATAAGGCCAAGACAAGCAATCTTAAAACACTGTTCACCATGGATAATTTCAAATGCACAAAAGTAGAATAGTATAACGATCCTCACATACTCAAATATAGCAAATTCCTTATTATCTTTAAATATCTAGTCAGGGTAAAAATTCCTCCAGTTGTCTCACATGGCTCATGACCTGAGCCAAAATCGAGTCAGAGGCTTAACCGACTAAGCCACCCAAGCGCCAGTCTCTTGCGACTTTTTATAAAACTCTACAGTCTCCTCCTCCTCCTCCTCCCTCCCACCACCCCACCCCAATCCCTTGCAGTTGATTTATTGAAGAAGATGGTTTGTTTCCCACAGCCTTGATTTTGCTAGCTGCATCCCTGAGGGGTCATTTAGTGTGATCTTCTGATCTCTTCCTTTCTTCTTGTTCCGGTTTTATTGACATAAAACTGACATCCAGCACTGTGTTAAGTTTAAAGTGTGTAGCATTAATGACCTGACCTCCATTTATCGTGAAATGACCGCCCCAAGTTTGGTTCACACCCATCCTCTCATGCAGACATGCAGTAAGAAAAGAAATGGTTTTTCCCTGGTGATGAGAACTCTGAGGATCTACTCTCCGAACAACTTCCCTGTTCACCAACCCAGCGTGTTAGAGTCCCCAAGCTGCACACCACGTCCCCAGTACTTACTTATCACTGGAAGTTTGGACCTTTTTGGTTTCTGAATTTCTTATAAACTGGTAACTAACTCCGGGGGCTTGATCAGATCCAAGGCAGATTTTTGTTTGTTTGGGCCCGACAGCGGCAGACACTGCTGCTGGGAAGCCCTCCTCGTACGGGCTTGTGCCCTGGGGAGCCTCACTGCTGTCCCCATGCGGACATCTCTCCAGCCTATTCCTCCAGAGGGACTGGCAGCAATTTCCCCAAGTTCTTGCCCTTTCAGAAAGTGGGTCACTGCCCCACTGGACGCTGGTCTGGTTGGACACCAACTACCTGCCTCCCATCTTCTTTCCCTGAGTACGTTAAATATGCCTCCATATCTTCTCTTGCGGCTGATTCTGCTGTTGCCATCATCAGTATGTTGGTCTTCTTGCCTGGATGCCCAAAGGATTTTTTTTTTCTTTTTGTTTGAAATCTAATAATCTTATTAGGATCCGCTCCAGTCCCGGCTTACACTGGGCCAGTTTTCGCAAGGGCGGGCCGCAGCTTTTCAACAGGAAGTCTCAGTTGCTGGAGCGCGCTGCTGGCCCCGAGGAACTCTCGAGACTTTCCAGGACAAAGCCCAGTATTGAGGAGATTCTAAGGGGAGGAGGATCCAAATGGAGCCCAACGAAAGTCGGTGCAAGTGAAAGAGATGGCCCAGGGGAAAGCAGGAGAGGAGCACAAAAGGGGCAGAGCGGAGAGCTTCTGAACCACACTAAAAACAGCTACGGATGGGCCAGGCAGACGGTCGGGAAGCTGGACCAGCCAACTAGGAAAACTTGTTTCCCCTAAATAGGAGGAACAGAAAAGGACTTTTGTCAAATCCCATGCAAACTATTATAAGAAAAAAAGAGAATAAAAAGTCCCTATGCACAATGAGGAAATGCCAGAAGGACATGGCCAGGAAACAGATGAAGACTATTACCTAATATTTCCAAACAAGCAGAAAGAAATTAGAAAAAGATAAAAACTATGAAAGGACAGCATAAATAAAAATTAGAAAGCCTTAGCAATGAGGTGATTGGAGAAATGGAAAATCTGAAATGAGATGACAGAACACAGGAAAGGATTCGAAATAAAAGGGAAGAAAAGCAGATTGTGCATGTAAAACATGCAGCTCAGCTCCAGGGAAATAGTAAGTGCTCACTGAACAGTAGATTAAAACAGAATTATCAGCCATGCTTTTGGTTCGGCAGCCTCTCCTCAGCCTCTGCCCTCTTTACAGCTCTGAAGTCACCCTGCCCTTAACTAAATGCCACAGCCTGGGACAGATGTGAAGGTGATGACAACTGGACTTCAGTCAGGACACAGACGGGGCACCAGGACTGGGCGCTGGGCCATGGAATGCCTCTAGCCGTTCACCGAGATAAGCAAGTCTGTGGGGAACCTGTCTAGAAATGAAAATCCTGGGCAACAAGGTCCAGACGGGAGATGGAGCCCAGGGTCCTGGGGCACCTGTGCATTTCTCTGTTGAGCCAGTGACACCCCCCACCCCCCACCCAGGTGCAGCCCGGCCCAGTCCCTTCCACTGGAGGCCCAGAGGGGAGAGACAATGGTGCCGCTCCCGCTGGGGCCAGACTGAAAGCTACTGGTGTTCACCCTCTGGCTCTCTGCCCAGCACGTCACGGCCTCGTGGTCTGCCCACTCTCTGACTCTGCTGGTGAGTGACGTTGGGGCAGACAACGGGCAGAAACGGGAATTCCACGCTCTGTGGCATTTGGGTACGGTGTCATTCCAGACACATTCCTGGAAACCGGTCGTCTGAGAACAGAACAGAACAACCAGGCTGAGGTCACTGAGAAGCTGAAAAGGCTCCTTCCCCAGGGATAAGCAGCCTTTGGACTGTTCTGGGTCCTTTCATGACTAACAGAAACCATCCAACAGTCTATATAACATCCCAGCGACGAGGAGGCAGAAGAGACGCCGAGGTCCCTGCCAACCCACCCACAGCAAGGCTGCTATTCTCATCAGGGGCAAAGCACCTTTCTTTCTCTGGATAGATACAGCAGGAAAGGATGGTCGCATGCCAGCAAGGAGAGGCTTCCAGTTTCCTTTCCCGAGATGCTGTGGTCAAGTCAGTGAACTGACAGACTTCTCTCTTGGGTAGAAAGGGCCTGTGCTCTGTGCCTTAAGACTGAGCTTAAAAAGGGCGCCTGGGTGGCTCAGTTGGTTAAGACTGAGCTTAAAAAAAAAGACTGGGCTTAACAATTCATAACAAGCAGATGTGGCCTGAGGGTTTAAAAAAATTTTTTTTTTCTAATTAGAAAATTTATTGTGGAAAAGTTCATCATTCTGTGGAAGAGTGCAAAAAAGTGTAAATAAAGAAAAATTGCCTAGAATCCTCCCACACAGAGAGAAACCTATTAAATTTTTAGGTTTTTTAAATATATAATTTTTAATTATATTAAATATATTTTTAAATATATAATCTCTTTCTATATATAGCTTTCCCATAGGACTGCTATATATATGAGCAAGGAATATTTCCCTTTCCACCATTTAGGAAATGTCTGAGAATCAAAAGAAAGTCTTCTTTGGGTGCGCAGGAAATGAGCACAGGAGGGCTCCTGGGTGGGAATTTGGAGAGACTTCGTTTTCCCCTTCTCTGGAAACTGTGATGGACCATCTCTCCCTCTTAAAACTCCCCTGAATTGGGTTCTTATTCAAAAGGTGTTCTTCCTGGAGTGCCTGGGTGGCTCAGTGAGTTCAGCGTCCAGCTCTTGATTTCAGCTCAGGTCATGATCTTAGGTAGTAGGATCGAGCCCTACATTGGGCTCTGTGCTGGGCGTGGAGTCAACTTGGGATTCTCCCTCTCTTTCTCCCTCTGCCCCTCCCCCTGCTTGTGCTATAAATAAATAAATAAAACCTTAAAAAAAAAAAAAGGTGTTCTTCCTCGGTGCCGGCTGCTAAGGGCAGAGTTGCAGGGGACAGTCTGGCTTGACTCAAAGGCAGGTGGGCCCATGGGGGAGCCCACCCTGTCAATTAGGGAACGTTGCCTCTGCTGGAGCATGGCTGGGTGACGGACCCAGCTCCTGTAGGCAGAGCTCCCCATGAGAGCACAGTGTGTGCCCAAAGCCCCATGGCTTGCCGAATGGTGGGTGGGCTGCAGCTCAGCGCCCTCAGCCCCCTCCCAGCTCCTGCGGCTTGGGGCAGTGGCGAGGGCAGAGTGGGCGAGGAGAAGCCGAAGTCGTCCTGCCGCGTAAAGGAAGGTTCATTTTAGAGTTCGAACTCGCCTATCTGTATTTGAAAATGCTTTCTTTTCCTAGACATCAGTGAATGCTCCAGCCAGCCTTGTCAGAATGGGGGGACCTGTGTAGAAGGCGTCACCCAGTACAAGTGCATCTGTCCTCCGGGGAGGACCGGCAGCCGCTGTCAGCACCAGGCCCAGACAGGTACGGGGCTGCCGAGGGGCTGGGTGAGGCGCCACCACAGGGAGAGGAGCCCCCTGGCCGTGGGTCACCAAATGCAGATGCGGCCGGAGCTCAGCTCCCCACCTGGACAGAGGGCTTTTCACCCTTGATCCGTCTGGTTATCTGGGATGGAATTTAGCTCTTTTGTGTTAACCAGCATTTTGATCCTTTTTATGGAAGAAAATGCGGGTAAAGGGACTGACCCGCAGTGTGAAAAGCTCCCCAGACTGGGAATTTGGCCCAAGAAGCTTCCTTGCTCCACCTTCACGTGGTCCGCATTTTCTCTGCGGATCAACAGAACGGCTCTTCCTTTCCAATGCCCCCATCGTACCCTGCCAAGTCAGTAGTTACTGATACAGACCAAAGTACCCTCAGAGCTGGGAAACGAGACATCTGACTGGTGGGGAGCTTATTTTTTAAAACAGATTTTATTTTTATTATTTATTTGAGAGAGAGAAAGCATGAGCGGGCAGAGGGAGAGGGAGAAACAGGTTCCTGCTGAGCAGGGGGCTCGATCCTAGGACCCTGGGATCGTGACCTGAGCTGAAGGTAGACAGTTAACCAACTGAGCCACCCAGGCACCCCTGGTGCTGAGCTTATTCTCCACATCTTGAGTCCCAGCATATCCCTAGCCAGAAGGTCTACAGGGCACAAAGTGGCTGTTTTCACAGAGGGCAAGACAATCCAATAAGGAATCTATGAAGGTTCCCACACTATGCTGTAACCAACATTTCCTATATAAAAAAGTCAAATCCTAAAGATGTCCTCTTTCTTTGCCAGAAGTCCCTGGAGTGTCCTGCCTGGTTGTCTGGATTTCTATGTGGAATCTGGGTATGGGAAAGAGGAATTGGTGGTTAACAATAGTATCCAGAGAGTAGGAGCTTTGTCAGTACTTGATATTTTTGCATCAGACCCAGTCCAAGGCCAGTTTTCAATCCTGCCCCCAGAGATCTGCTGCTTAATTGTCTTGGTTCTATTCAGCTGAGTCAGCCTTGCTGGGGCTTTCTCAGAACACAGCTGCCCACCCCAGGAGCCCAGCTCCTCTCCCCCCAGGGCTGCTCTCTGGGGAACCAGAGGCCAGAGGCAGGGCCTTCTCTCCTCCTTACAAACAGAAAGGAACAAGAAGTGGGCCCTCTTTCAACCCAAACGAGCTGGTACTGGACCCTGAATGTTCCAAACCCTCCATGTTAGGGTTTCTGCTGTCAGGACCTTAGGCAGCTGCTTCTCAGGTCCAGGGGGCACTTTATATATAAAGTATCCCCATGACAAGAATCTCCCCAGGGAGGGGGAAGAGGGAGTGAGCAGGTGCATCTGAAGCCAGCTGATGACCTCATGGTCTCCTTGAACAGCCCAGCAAAGGCCTGCCTTCTTGCTCACCTGGTCCCCCAGCCTGGAGCCTTCCTTCCCATCTGCTCTGCCTGTGTCTGCTCTGAAGGAGAGCCTCTCCAAATACTTTTTTTTTTTAATTCATTCACCTTTTCTTTCCCCTATTATAGTAGAATATACATAACATAAAATTTACCATTTTAACCATTTTAAGTGTATGGGCCAGAGGCATTAAGTACATTTACACTGTTGTGCAACCATCCACCTCCACGTTTTCACCTTGCAAAACTGAAACTCTGCCCTTGAAACAGTACTTCCCCATTTCCTCCTCTCCCAGCCTCCCCCCACAACCATTCTGCTTTCCGCTCTACGAATCTGACTACCCTAAGAACCTCACCTCCATGCAGTCACACACTGCGTCTCCTTGGATGTCCTCTTATGCATCATTACTTTCACCACTGATGATCCTCTACCATCTCCCCTAACCATATGAGAACCCTAAATCCTTTGAAAATGCTCAAAAACTAATTTTTTTTCTGAATAGAAAATTGATGTTCCTGGGGTGCCTGGATGGCTCAGTCCGTTACCCTTCTGACTTCAGCTCAGATCATGATCTTAGTTAGGGTCCTGGGTTCCAGCTGTGCATCCAGCTCCCGGCTCAGAGGGGAGTCGGCTTGTCCCTCTACCCCTCCCCCTGTTCATGCTCTGTCAAATAAATAAATAAAATCTTAAAAAAAAAGAAAAAAAATTGATGTTCCTGGTTTTAAAACAAAAAGCTCAGATAATTTAGAAAAGTATAAAATTACAACCACACGGGCATCGGTTAAGCGTTTACCTTCAGCTTAGCTCATGATCTCAGGATCCTGGGATTCAGCCCTGCAAGGGGCACCCTGCTCAGCGGGGAGCCTGCTTCTCCCTCTCCTCTACCCACCCCACCCCCAGTCATGCTCTCTCTCTCAAATAAATAAAATCTTTTTTAAAAAAATTACAACAGGGCGCCTGGGTGGCTCAGTTGGTTAAGCGACTGCCTTCAGCTCAGGTCATGATCCTGGAGTCCCTGGATCGAGTCCCGCATCGG